ATTCCACCCCCTGATGCTTTTGCTACACTCAGACTATGTGCTTGGGAGAGGGGAAGTATTGCCTCTTGGAGGCGCCCAGCAGGGGTGGTATATATTTGTCCCAGGTCACTGGGTGGGGGCTCGAGCCGGTTTGCATTGTGTTATTGGAATGGATCCCCTAGATATTGAACCCGGCCCTTGTTGCTGCCAACTCTGACGGGCAGAAGGGTTACACATGAAATTAGCATAATACATCTGTCAAAACAATAAATATGCCTGTTTGGGTCTTGCAGTGAAAATGAGCAGATGAGCAAGGATGGGGGAGAGCAAGTGATGGAGGGAGGGGGGATGGAGTGAGAGGGGGTGGGGCCTCAGGAACGGGCTGGGCCTCAGGGAAGGGGCGGGGCAGTGGGCTGGGCAAGGGGGTTCAGTTTCTGCAGTTAGAAAGTTGGCAACTCGGGTTTCAGCCCTGCAGTGTGTCAGGGCTGGCTTTAGCACTGCAGTGCGCTGAGGCTGGGGACTTCTGCCCTGGGATGCACCAGGGCTCAGGACTCCAAGCTCCCAGCTTTAGCCCTGTGGGGCGGAGAGGCTCGGGGCTTCTGCACCACAGTGTGCTGGGGCTCGGGGTTTCAGGCTTTAGTCCTGCAGGGCACTGGGGCTCGGGGTTTCTGCCCCGCAGGCACCGGGACTCCGGGCTTTAGCTCTGCAGTTTAGGGGGACTCAGGACCCCCCAGGGGGCAGCAGACCCACAGTTGAGAACCACTGATCTAGTCCATCCCTCCACAATGAGTCAGGCTTAATATACCTAGATCAGTGGTTCTCAAACTTATTTGATTATGCTCCACTTCCTTGTGTCTGTAGTAGCAGTAGTCAGGGTGCCCAGCCAGCAGCCACTGCTCTCCAGTCGCCCAGGTCTGAATGTGCTTCTTGTCCTATCCTCAGAGGTTAAAGAGAACAAGTTTTCTCCCTCTTCCTTGTAACAACCTTTTAAGTACTTGAAAACTATTATCCTGTCCCCTCTCAGTCTTCTCTTCTCCAGACTAAAAAACCCAGTTTTTTCAATCTTCCCTCATAGGTCATGTTTTCTAGACCTTTAATCATTTTGTTGCTCTTCTCTGGACTTTCTCCAGTTTGTTCACATCTTTCCTGAAATGTGGCGCTCAGAACTGGACACAATACTCCAGTTGAGGCCTAATCAGTATAGAGTAGAGTGGAAGAATTACTTCTCATGTCTTGCTTACAACACTCCAGCTAATACAGCCGAGAATAATGTTTGCTTTTTTTTACACGTGTTCCACTGTTGACTCATATTTAGCTTGTGATCCACTATGACCCCCAGATCCCTTTCTGCAGTATCCTCCTTTCTAGGCAGTCATTTCCCATTTTGTATTTGAGCAACTGATTCTTCCTTCCTAAGTGGAGTACTTTGCATTTGTCCTTATTGAATTTCATCCTATTTACTTCCCTTAACCTTCTCTTCTTTAGACTAAATATGCACAATTTTTTCAATCTTTCCCTGTTCAACTTGTTCACATCTTTGTTAAAGATTGGTGCCCCAGTTTGGACACTTACTTGCAACGCTGCTGTTAATACACCTTTGTCTTTTTTGCAAAAAGCTACATCACATTGTATTTGTTTCAGGAAGCCTCCCTCCCAATCCCTGGCATGTAGGAACCAGGACCACAACCCAAATCTCGCTGTCTTGTAGGTTCCTTTTCTGCAAATACTTTTTCAGATTGGTCTTTTTATATGGAATACCCATCTAAAAATTAGGAGAGGGCTTTTGGGGAATTGTTTGGTGGGTCTGGGAAGCAGCAATGTCTGCAGAGTGGGCAAGCTTCAACAGGGAGATAAAGGCTGCCAATGATGTAATTTCCTACTTTATTGTTGCTCTAATGCTAGCTAGTCCCCAGCGGCCCTTCACCTTGGAGAGCAGCCAGTGAAGGTTAATATGAAGCAGAGGCTGGTTAATACTGCACCTCCTCCTGCCTAGGCCTGGGACACAGCTGCCAGCTGTATCTGCCTGGTGGCTAAATACTCAGGGCTTTACAGAAATGTAATGGAAAGGCCCCTAGGGTTGCCAACTTTCTAATTCCACAAACCCGAAAACCTTTGCCCTTCCCCCTGCCCTGAGGCCCCGCCCCTTCTCCGAGGTCCCATCCCCACTTTCTCCAGCTGCCTTCCTTCTATCACTCACTCTCCCCCACCCTCACTCACTTTAACTGGGCTGGAGCAGGGGGTTGGGGTGTGGGAGGGGGTGAGGGCTCCAGCTGGGGATGAGGGGTTTGGGGTGCAGGAGTGGGCTCCAGGCTGGGCCAAGGGGTTTAGAGTGTGGGAGCAGGCTCAGGGCTGGGGCAGGGGTGCAGGAGGGGGTACAGACTCCGGCTGGGGGTGTGGGCTCTGGGGATGAGGGTTTGGGGTGCAGGAGGGGGCTCCGGGCTGGGCCAAGTGCTTTGGAGTGTGGGAGGAGGCTCAGGGCTGGGGCAGGGAGCCGGCTCCAGGAGGGACTTTGGATGCAGAAGGGGGTTCTGACATGGGGCAGGGGGGTTGGGGTGTGAGGTGTAACGATGCTACCTTTGGTGGGACACAATTGAGAGTATCAATTCAGGACAAATTGCTTAGAGCAGGGCAGTCACAGCCCAAGGCTGAGTGTCCTTTATTATTAAGGCACGCCAAACCAGCCAAACAGAGAGGACTTCGGTTTTATGCCACTAGCTAACCAGAAGTCATACAAGCAATTCCCTCAGATACTGCAGTTCCCTTGTATCACCACCAGCACCATAGTTATGGGGATGGATGGTTATGAAAATCAATACCCCAGTAAAAGAAAAAAGGATCTCCTGACCCAAAGGACCAAGCCCCAGATCCAGGTCAATATACGAGTTAGATCTTACCCACAAATCACGCTGTTGCCAATCCTTTAGAATCCAAAATCTAAAGGTTTATTCATAAAAAGAAAGAAATATAGATGACAGCTAATAAAGTAGTCAATTACATACAGCAATGGCAAAGTTCTTGGTTCAGGCTTCTGGCAGTGATGGAATAAACTGCAGGCTCAAATTAAGTCTCTGGAGTACATCCACAGCTTGGATAGGTCATTCAGTCCTTTGTTTGGTGCTTCAGTATAGCAAAGTTCCTCCAGAGGTAAGAAGCAGGATTGAAGACAAAATGGAGATGATGCAGCTGAGCTTTTGCCATGTGGCTTGTTCTTCCTTTGTTCCAAACACAACCTACCCAGCATATGGCATAGAAAAACCTTAGAGTTCTGTCCATATACATGTCCCTGCATGCCTTGCTGAGTCACAAGGTGTACCTGCCTTCTCTCAATGGGTCAATTATATAGCTGATGGTCCTTAATGGGCCATCCATCAGGCTAGGCAGTGCTGATGCCAAATTTTCTGGGGTGTCACCCAGAAGCATACCACAAGTTTGAAACACAGATAGTCTAAAGCCAATACTTATAACTTTAAATACAAAGGTTTCAGAGGAACAGCCGTGTTAGTCTGTATTCGCAAAAAGAAAAGGAGTACTTGTGGCACCTTAGAGACTAACCAATTTATTTGAGCATGAGCTTTCGTGAGCTACAGCTCACTTCATCAGCTGTAGCTCACGAAAGCTCATGCTCAAATAAATTGGTTAGTCTCTAAGGTGCCACAAGTACTCCTTTTCTTTTTAAATACAAAATGATACATGCATACAGATAGCACAATTATAACCAGCAAATCATAATCTTTTGATAGGCATCCTACTTGATCTCCTTTGTACAAGATTTGGTGCAATTATAGGACCTTGGTTGCAACAATGATTTATATGGTCATAGTTCACGTCAGTAACATCACAGAGGTCTGGGAGGGAGTTAGGGTGCAGGAGGAGGTCCTGACCTGGGGCTGGAGGTTGGGGTGCATGGTCTGGGAAGGAGTCAGGATGTGGGTTCCGACTTGGGGCAGAGGTTCCCAGCCAATGGGAGCTGCGGAGCCGGTGCTTGGGGTAGGGGCAGCATGCGGAGTTTCCCTGATTGCCCCTGCATGTAAGGGCTGGACACGCTGGCTGCTCCGGGGAGCCGCATGGAGCTATGGCAGGCAGGGAGCCCGCCTTAGCCCCACTGTGGCGCCAACTGGAATGTTAACGGCCTGGTCAGCATCTGCCAGGGTCCCTTTTCGGCCGAGCATGCTGGTCGAAAACCAGACGCCTGGCAACCCTACGCCCTGTCCTGCAGCCGGCCAGTACACTCTGTGACTCCGGCCTGTTGGCGAGAGGCCCAAGAGGGATGGACGAAAGCAGGGCTTGGCCATGTACTGAAAAACCACACTGGGGCTTTAAGAATGGCTTATGTGACGCTGCCTTTTATTTGCCATCTGGGTTCTGAAGCCCCAGAGAAACATGGCGGCCGAGATCTCGCTGCCCCGTCCATTCGCCTCCGCTGTGAAGAGGGCAGGCGCAGACCGACGCGGCCCGGCCCCGGGGATATGAGGGGGGCTTTGCCGCCCTTCCCCTTCGAGCCGGGCACGCGGAGAGTCTCGCGCCGCAGCGTGACCCCGGCAGAGGGTGCCGCAGGGAGGGCAGAGCGCGCACCCGTCCCGGCCCGGGACTCTCCCTCTGTGACTGTGGTGTGCGCGCATGCCGGGCCGGTGGCTGCGTTGAAGGGGCACGTCCAACTCGGCAAAGAGAAGCCGCGCGGCTGTGACGCAGGCGTTCCCCTGAGAAGAAACTGCATGTACAGGAAAAGCAGGACTTGTGGCACCTTCCAGACTAAGCAGTTTAAATGCTCAAATAAAGTGGTTAGCCTCCAGGGTGCCACAAGTCCTCCTTTTCTTTTTGCGGAGACGGGCGGACACGGCTGCTGCTCTGAAACCTGGATTTACAGGTTCCGACATCAGTTTGGCGGGAATCCTCCAGAACCAGCGAAGGGGCTCCGGCACCGCCTTCCGCCTGCTGGGCGCCTTCCCGCCTCCCTTTCGGGCGCCGTTCGCCAGAGGGTTGTTTCCCCGCAGCATCCCGGCGTCGGCCGCGACGCTCCGGGAAGTCCGTGGGAGGGACGCGGCCGCTTGCCACCGGCTGCTGTTGACGTCGGCGCCCCCGGGCTCCCCGGGCTGGCAGCGAGCGGCGCGGCCCCAGAGACGCCCGCGGATCTCTCGGCTTTAGGGCGCCGCCCAGACCTGAGCGGGCGGCCGCTCTTCCCTCCCAGCTCCTCTCTATGGTCGCAGGTCCCAGTTCCCGCCGCCCACTCCCGTTCGTCACGTGGGCAGCGGTTTCCGGCGGGGACTCGCCGTGGCTGGAGCCGGGAGGTGGCGGACGCTCGCCGCGTGGGTCGGTGAGTGCGGTCCGCGTGGGGCCCCCTGCGCCCCCCACTCCGGGGGGCCCCGCGCATCAGCCCCGCCCCCTCCCGCCGGTCGCTTTCGGGGAAACCGGGGATTCGCGCCCCCCCCCCGCTGCCGGGGGCGGTTACACGGCCTCGGGCTCAGCCCCCGCCGCTCGCTGCGGGCCGGGGGTCCCGCTCCCCTCCCCCGCTCCCCAGCGGAGCCCCGCAGAGCGGGGCGGGCGTGACACCTGGGGACGCTGCCCCGGGGCCAGGGCGGATTCAGCGCCCCGCTGCAGAGGCGGGCAGGGCACCCCCCGGGGGCTGCTTTGAATCGCTGACAGCGAGACCCGCGGGCGCGAGAGCAGCCCCTGCCGGGCACCCGCCTCTGGGCGTGCCGGGGCGCGGTGTGAACCCGTCTCCTGCCGGCTGAGGGGTCCCCACTGATGCTCCCCGAGGCGCTGATCCTGGGAGCTGCCCTGGGCGGAGGCGGCTGCTGCCCGCCCCCGGGAAGCTGGCAGGGTTGGGGCTCAGCTTTGGCGCTACCAGCAAGTAAGAATAACAATAAAAGCCCGTCTCGCAGCGAGCCTAGCTGTGCTCCGTTTCTGAGCTCTGACGCAGCGGCAGCAATAACTCAGCAGTAACTAACTGTCTGATAACTAAAAAAGAAAAGGTGGGGTGGAGAGGAGGCAGCACATGGAGCAAGGAGCTGGAGGTCCCCGCTTCCCATGAGCCGGGTAGGGAGCCTGCCCCCAGCCCTGCCACCTTCCCCACCCCCTGGGCCGCGACCCTCCTCGATCACCCACGGCACCCCGCCAGGCCGCACCCCTCCTCTCCAAGCACCCACTGTGCCCCCCAAGCCACTCCCCTCCCCCATCCCAAGTTTTATTCAGGGGTATATAGTAAAAGTCATGGACAGGTCACGGGCTGGGAATTTTTCTTTTGTGCCCATGACCTGTCCATGACTTTTACTAAAAATACCCATGACTAAAACATTGCCTCAATTATCAGCTATATAAGGTTTGGCCAGATAGAGGCCCTGAGACTACCTGTTGTCCTAGGCTTGTTGCAAATGGTTGAGTTGAAAACAGAAATTTCTACACTTCCTGTCCTGCTGCTCAGAAAACTGCATCAGCAGAAGTGGATTTGACCAGCTCTTACCGTTACTTCTGCAGCAGGGGTACGAGAGCTCACCTTTTCATTGGATAAACTTTCTTCTGATAAGTTTATGCCAGTAGCATACACTTTTCTCAAATTATATATATAACTCAAAAACTTTTTAATGCACAGTTAAAAATCACAATTGGCCAGGTTACACGCTGTGGAAGCTTTTCTTTTGTGATTTTTAACTTGCAACGTTAATGTTGCATTCCTATACATTTAATTGCCTAGCTTTCTTTTAAAAGTAGGTGTGGGAATGACCCCTACGTATATGCGCTTCCTTGTGGTATAGATACATTTCAGGTAAACTGTGTGCGTATCAGCTGGGCATGCCTTTAACTACACGAGTAACAGGTATGCACGTCAAAGACCACATAGTTTATTAAAATAAATTTTTTAGTCTCTAAGGTGCCACAAGTACTCCTTTTCTTTTTACAGTTTATTGGGGATTCTTTTATGGTGTTCTTCACACAACGCACAGTCAACCTGTGGAGCTCCTTGCCGGAGGATGTGGTGAAGGCCAAGACTAATAACAGGGTTCAAAAAAGAACTAGATCAGTTCATGGAGGTTAGGTCCATCAGTGGCTATTAGCCAGGATGGACAGGGATGGTGTCCCTAGCCTCTGTTTGTCAGAAGCTGGGACTGGGCAACAGGGGATGGATCACTTGATGATTACCTGTTCTGTTCGTTCCCTCTGGGGTACCTGGCATTGACCAATGTCGGAAGACAGGATACTGGGGTAGATGGACCTTTGGTCTGACCCAGTATGGCTGTTCTTATGGTCTTACGTATTCACAAGAACTGCGCTCCAGTTAGGGTGGAGAGATCCCAAGATGTGCTTGAGGACCTGCTCTCCACACAAAAATTTGAAGTTTCTGTCCTGCTGGAGAATCCAGTGTATTGCTCCCTCTTGAAATCTGACTTATTTAATCTCTCCCCACTTAAAAAAAAAAAAATGTAAAAACTTATTTTTTCAGAGGTATTTTTAAGTTACTACCACAGTTGCTGTAGTGTTTTTGTTTGTTTACTCACCTTGTTTATGAATTTTTTGAGGCTGGGATGTTCTTTTTATTAGTTAATGAGAATTGTTTTGATGGTGGTGGCACTTTTGCAATGGAGCAGTCGGGGCGGAGCTTTGTGAATAAAATTATTATTTGGGGATGCAAAGTCTGAATTGTGAGTGTTATATAGTGATTAACTAGCTTTCTTTTAAAAACCAACTGAGGAGTTGAGGGGAGTAGAATGAGTTTGGGTGCCCGGCCATTTGAAAGGAGGGTTCAGGTTAGGAGGCAGCACTAAGGCAAACAGTTGTCTCCACATTTTGGAAAAAACTGCTCATTTAAATAGCTGTAATTGTGCTGCTTACAATGTAACATTTTCTTTTGCTGTGTATGCTCAATCTTGCATTTTTATACAGTAGAATCTCAGTTACAAATACCTTGGGAATGAAGGTTCTTTGTAACTCTGCACAAAATGTTATGGTTGTTCTTTCAAAAGTTTACAACTGAACGTTGTCTTAATACAGCTTTAAAACTTTATTATGCAGAAGAAAAATGCTGGTTTCCCTTTACTTTTTTAGTAGTTTACATTTAACATAGTACTGTACTGTATTTCCTTTTTTTTGTTTGTTTGTGTCTTTGCTGCTGCCTGATTGGATACTTCTAGTTCCAAATGAGGTGTGTGGTTGACGGGTCTGTTCATAACTCTGGTGTTTGTAATTCTGAGCTTCTACTGTAATTTTATTTTGGAGGAATTTTTTTCATTTAATAGAGCACCTGTTCATTGAAAACTGTCAATTTCGCAGTTAATCTGTTTCTGAGTTACATTTTTTGTGGGTGTGTCATAACCATACAGCTAAGGGTAGCCTAGAATTCCTCCTTACCTGTAAGGGGTTAAGAAGTTCAAATAACCTGGTTGGCACCTGACCAAAGGGACCAATGGGGAAAGAAGATGCTTTCAAATCTTGGGGGCAGGAAAGGGGGAATTTGGAGGCTTTGTTGGTGTGCTCTCTGGGGAAAGCAGAGAGGCATCAGGTCAAAAAAAACCTCCTTCTCCTATAAACCATCCTGTACAAGTCTCTGATATTACACAGAGAGTAAGTAAATAAAGCAAGGCGCGTTAGATTACCTTTTGTTTTCAGCTTGTGAATTTTCCCTTTGCTAGAGGGAGGTTTATCCCGGATTTTTTGTAACTTTAAAGTTTTGCCTACAGGGGAATCCACTGTGTTTTGAATCTGTAAATACTGTAAAGTATTTACCATCCTGATTTTACAGAGGTGATTCTTTTACCTTTTCTTTAAATAAAACCCTACTTTTAAGAACCTGACTGATTTTCCCATTGTTCCAAGACCCAGGGATTTGGGTCTTTGATCATTTTGTAACCGATTGGTTAGGATATTATTCTCAAGCCTCCCCAGGAAAGGGGGTGTAAGGGTTTGGGGGGATTGCTGGGGGAAGAGGAACTCCAAGTGGTCCTTTTCCCTGGTTCTTTGTTAAATCACTTGGTGGTGGTGGCAGCATTACTTAAACCCAAGGTACAAGGGAGAATTTGTGCCTGGGGAGTTTTTAACCTAAGCTGGTAGAAATAAGCTTAGGGGGTCTTTCATGCGTGTCCTCACGTCTGTACCTTAGAGTTCAGGGTGCGAGGGAAGACAGTTAGCATTTTTCTTCAGTGCAAAGTATATATTTTATACCCATCCTCCACTCTCCTTCAGAAGTAACTTAATGGATTGTCCTCAAACTTAATCACCTCTAGGATGGAGAACAAGCATAATATATTTCATTCCAAAGGATGATTTAAAAAAAAAAATTGTTGGTGAGTAAAAACAAGCTGTTCTAACAAGAAAAATTTGCACCATAACAGCAGTTGCAATCAGTTACTGCTATATGGTTTGTGATTACATAATAGAAATTATATTGGAATGCATTTATGCATGCCCAGAGGCACATAAAGATGAGCTGAAAATCAAAAGCTTGTAAGATCTTAGAGCAGGGATCGGCAACCTTTGTCATGTGGCCCACCAGGGTAAGCCCCCTGGTGGGCTGGGCCGGTTTGTTTACTTGCCAGGTCCGCAGGTTCAGCCGATTGCAGCTCCCACTGGCCATGGTTCGTTGCTCCAGGCCAATGGGGGCTGCGGGAAGCGGCATGGGCCGAGGGATGTGCTGGCTGCTGCTTCCCACAGCCCCCATTGGCCTGTGGGAGCTGCGATTGTCCGAACCTGTGGACACGGCAGATAAACAAACTGGCCTGGCCCGCCTGGGGGCTATCCTGGCGGGCCGCGTGCCAAAGGTTGCCGATCTCTGTCTTAGAAGCAATATGGGTATAGATGCTACCTGTTTAATTTGGGACCAAAATGTAAGTTTTGTAAAACCGTTTAACGTGAATAGATTATTTTTTATTGAAACAGGATTTGTATTTCAATATTCTCATGTATTGCTGTGAACTCATACACAGCATTGAGCTAGTACATGAGAATTGAAAGTCACAAACTAAAATGTAGCTTCTAAGTCTCGTGTTAACTGTCCAAAAGAAGTGAAATCTGTCAAGTGAATTGGATTTAAAATTTTCATTTTTAATTATTCTGTGTGGATGTGCTATTACTAACACAGGCAAGGGGTTTAAGAAAGATTGCCCTGACAGTATACATATAAAACATAAAGTTGCAGACTTTACTTTCTCTTCTGGCAAGAAAATATGCCTTCCGTAAACAGAGTTACAAGTGATGAATTTTGTTAGAAGTTTCTATATTTGGTCAGCAGTATCCCAGTTTTCTTTAATTAAAAAAAAAATCCCTTTGGGTTTGTTAGTTTAATGGTGAATTTTGTGTTTCTGTGTGTATCAAGTTTCCCCAAAATCAATATAAATATGGAAAATTTATGGTGGCTGGGATTTTGCTTGTTCTGGCAGATACCACAACATTTAGCGTAATAATTTCTCAGGTTCTTAAGGTAGTGGTTGTCAAATACAGGACTAATTCTATACATTTAACTACAGTATTATGCATTTTCTGATTTTATAATCTTAAAAACAAAACTTAAAAACTAAAGAAAAAATAATTCTGAATTTCTACATTGTAGGTTAACATCTCAAATTGAATGTAAGATTAGTAGAAAATCTTTACTAGAATATTTGATTTGATTACTAAACATTTGAGTACTTTTTTGGCAAGGTCCAGTTATTTTTATGAAACCACTTAATGAACCCTGATATTTATATATTTTTATTTCAGAAACTGAATATTATACTGGTATGACGTCTGGGATTTGCTATAGTATAATTATTGCTAAAGTGAGTCTTGGACTAGTGCAAAAAAACTGTGCTAAACTAACAATCCAGTGAAAGTTTTATGAACTGATCCCTTTGAACTGCCAGCATTAAGACATGAATACTACATACCACTGAATTTTGGAGGCACTCAGATTTCGAATAGTATAAATCATTATTTTTATCCCAGGAAGGCTGAGAGTTATTGGCCCTTAAAATCATATAATGACATCTTGCTTTTTATTTTTCTGCTTGAATCCTGACATGATTTTAACTGCCACTATCAGGACCCATTACAGCCAGACATCAGTGCTTCATACAATCAGAAATCTTAGAAACAACTTTCATCTGGTATAGAGTATTAATCTATTGGGTTGTGATATCAGCTGCTAAAATTCTGTTAGTCCTAAAGTGGAGGTATGGTGCAGTACACAAGATTATCAGAATGTAGGATCCTTAAGGTGCAGTGTTTTGTGATTTGATAAAGCTAGAAGCAGTGTGTCAGTACAAATACGTTAAAGCTTTGATTCTGAACTAGAAAGTGTCTCTAAAAATGGCATCATGGGGTTTCATTTTTTCTCAATGTGTACTTAGGTTAGGAAAATTTATGAGCATTTTATCTGTGCTGGTGCATCTGCATGGCTGCTAGTGACAGTACAAACTATAACATAGGCAGGGCACAGACAGGATTTTTACCACCACATTACCTACACCCTGTCTATCACTACAGCTTCTGCTGTTGGTAGCAATGGTGCAAAAATGTTTATACGCTTTCCTAGAGGAAAGCCAATATGCCTTGACTTTTCAGTCTTTTTATGTTTATTTTATTTATTTTCTCCTAATTACCATTGCTGCAAACTTAACCTGTGGTTTGAGAGTCAAGCAGCCAGGTTCTTTCCTTTTCACTCATTGCGTCAGCAATGAAAGTTTTGTAGGTCAGATTAGGGCCTCAATTACACTTGTGCAATCTGTTTGTCTTATTTGTGTTGTTAGATGTGCAGCTGGTTGGGATTTTCTGACTGATGCACAAATGGAATAGAACCCTGCTCTAGGAGCTGCATTGGCTTTGCAGTGCTAACATGAGTAAAAAGTCGTAAAAAATGTGCTGTTTGTTGGGAAAGAAAAGCAGATTTCATTCTGAATGCAGGTAGGGAGCAGTTATATTGCTTAAGAAGGTGCCCTTCTTTGTAAGTCTTTTTCAGATCTGAGCCATACTTTAAGGAGCAATAAACTATTCCAGAAGCCAGTTCTTGAGAAGAATAGACATGGTTTTACCGTAAGTTATTTGATTGCCCGTTGTTTAATTAACAATTTGAACGTCTCTCTACAGAGCTTCAAAATGACTAAAAAGAGGAAACACCAAGAGGATTTCCAAAAGGTGAAGCTAAAAGTTGGAAAAAAGAAGCCTAGACTAGAAAATGCAACTGATACAAACTTCAAAACGAAGGCCATACATCTTCCTGAACAGCTTAAAGAGGATGGAATACTTCCCACGAACAATAGAAAACTTAACATAAAGGTATGGTAAGGTAAAAGTTTCAGCAGTGATTTGACAATTTATTATGTTTTTTAACAAAGGTTGTGTTTGAGCACTGTCCCACTGACCTTGACCAAATGCTGGACTATGGATACTTGTGAAGTTTAGATAGTGGCTTGGGTCTTTGGATGAGCTAATAACCTAAGGCAGAGATTTTAAAAAATAGGAGCCGGAAGTTAAATATTGTTTAGGAAGCTTTAACTCAAGACACCTGTTTTTTAAAATCTTGGTGTTATATCATTAGTTTTTCATTAGTTTGTCCAGAGGCAGAAGATTTCAAAAATAGACTCCTAAAGCCATATTTAACTTTAGGTTCCTGTTTTTCTTCATTTTTCATCTGCGTGCTATCCCCTCTCTAAGTCCATCTGTTGCAACCTGAAAGGAACTGCACCTTCATGATCTATCAAAGGCATCTGTTTTTGGCTCCTGGCTCTTCAGAGGTCACCTCTCTTGGGTAGGGATCTGTCTCTATCTCTTGACAGGGGTTTTTCCAGGCTGTAGTGTTTCCCGCCTACACTGTGATAGCCCTAATAAGCCAGACCACCTAAGCAGGCTTTCTCTGCACATTGCTTTCTCTCCAAAGGCTACGAACAGCTGTAATTGCCAGCAGTACAGGGTACCACACAGGTCTTTCTAAGCAAATACATTTGCTCTTAATGTGAAGGCATTACAGAGAAAGCATTAAAAACAATAAAAGAACCTACACATCTGCTAAAAAGCTTACCAGAGGTGACCCCAACTCCAACCTGGGGTTCTGGTAGGTGTCAGTCCTTCGAAACACATAACTGGATTTTCCCCTGGGGTTACAAGTTCATAACTGTCTCAGATTCAGAACCAGAACTATTATGAGTATTCAGTCTTTCCTTTATATAGCTTAGGCTCATGATCTTGGTCTCATGTAACAGGTGATCAGCAGGCAATGGCCACTCTTCAGGGCAATAACTTCATAAGACTGTGTTTTTGCATAACTGGACATAGGGACTGATGGTGCAAAAATGTATTTGCATTGACCTCCCCTTAGATCAGTGGTGGGCAACCTGTGGGGTGCATGCGGCCCATCAGGGTAATCCACTGGCGGGCCGTGAGACAGTTTGTTTACATTGACAGTCCACAGGCATGGCCACCCGCAGCTCCCAGTGGCCGTGGTTCACTGTTCCTGGCCAATGGGAGCTGCGGGTGGCCGTGCCTGTGGACAGTCAATGTAAACAAACTGTCTTGCGGCTCGCCAGCGGATTACCCTGATGGGCCGCAGGTTGCCCACCACTGCCTTAAATAGTCCTCAGGTCCTCATTGACCTGCCCTTAGCTAATCCCCAGGAACACCAGTTAATACTTTTTGTTCCAAAAGTCCATTCTTGTCTGACACATTGTTCAATATAGTCCTTTTAATCAATACAGTCCAGCTCTCACATCTGTCACCTTTTCCCCTTCTAGAGGTTGCATACAATTTGAGCCACAATAATTCGTAAATGATTCTTTTAATATATTGGACTCCAAAGATACTTAAATTTAATTCAGTACGTTCTCCAAAGTACAGCAATTTTCTGCAATATATCTGTCACACCACCTTCCTTTCCTTGACTCTAGCTCTCCCACTGGAGGAGATGAGGGGCCACCTTCAAAGAAGTAAGTCTGCTATGGGTAACTTAAAAGCAGCTGTGCAGTCATAGCTGGCGTACTCCAGCTCTACTCCGCAGGTAGAAGTGGGTAAGAGAGAGTCTTGCTTGCTCTTATTAATTCAGGAGGCACACAGATGTTATGATTATGAAGGTCATGTAAGTACCTAGATAGCAAACCATGAAATTATTGCATACTTCCTGTAATTAGGAAGGTAGGAGACTTGTTGGCTGTTATGCTCTAAAAGAAAGCATTTTTGGATCTGAAATTATTAAGCTCTTGATATAGTCCATTAAAACAGTTTCTATACCTATTAAGTCTTTTAACAGATTAATAGTAGAAAATGGGTCAGTTTAAAGTTTTTGAAGGAATAACTAGTAAATGTGTCTCTCTTCTTGTAGGATCTGCTTTCACAGATGCATCACTATAGTGCCGGAGTTAAGCAAAGTGCTCTTCTTGGGCTCAAAGAACTGCTGTCCCAGTATCCATTTATAATTGATGCACACCTTTCAAATATACTAAGTGAGGTGGCAGCTGTATTTACAGACAAGGACTCTGGTGTCAGAGTAGCAGCAATCCGGCTCCTTCAGTTCTTGGCTCCAAAAATCCGAGCCGAGCAGATTGCTCCATTTTTTCCTTTGGTAAGTGCCCACCTCTCCAGTGCCATGACTCATATCAGTGAAGGAATTCAGGAGGATTCTTTAAAGGTCTTGGACATCTTGTTGGAAGAGTACCCAGTCCTCCTTACTAATCGCTGTAGTATATTGCTGAAGAATTTTGTAGAGCTTATTTCTCACCAGCAGTTGTCAAAAAACCTGAAAAGTAGAGAGAAAATATCCTGGATGCTGTCTGTTAACCCTAACCGCAGAGTAACTTCACAGCAATGGAGGCTGAATGTACTGATCAGATTCAAGAAGTTTCTCCAAGCATTGGTAGATGGTTCCAGTGGATCAGAAGAAGATGAAGAGATCCAGGAGCAAAAGGAGAACTCCCAGTTCATGAGGAACTCAGTATGTATAAGCTGGAAGGAGCATGCCAGTAATCAGCAGCACATCCAGCTATATGAAAATGGTGGGTCACAACCAAGGATCAATTCAGCATTCAGACTAAGGTGAGAAAAATGTTACTTGTCTGATAGTTTCATTGAGTCAATTCTATATTTACAACTAAGCTAATGTGAAACTGTTGTATGTTGTTGCTGCTGAGCCACAGGTGTTCATTTTTGTTCTAGGACTCTAGCGAGATTTATATTAGATCATTCAGTGAGATGGGTTATTTTACCACAACAATTTGATCAGGTTATGGAATATGAAAATATAGAAGTATTGAGCCATTGATAACCATACTCTATGTCCATTATGACTCTCTCAGTGCTGTTTTTCATTAACCACAAATAAAATGGTCATTTATACCACTTGTTACAAATTTTCAGTACAGGCCATCCTTCCATTACATCTTCCATGCAGATGGAACACCAGAGCATTATTTTTTACTGCGTATAAATGGAGAGTGTGAAGGCAAATCCCTTTTTAGTAGTAGAAGTTAAGTGTACTGGCCCAGAGAGCGTCTCATGCTTTAATGATGTGCATATTCTAATGTGATGTAGACACATTAACTTCAGGCCATGTGATCAGCACTCTTTTTTAACTGAGGAATTTTGAAGGCTCAAAAAGTTAACCTGTCTTGACTGTAACTTTGATATCTTTTCTCCAACCTACAGTTTCTTTGCCTGAACATAAAATCTTTCATACTATCCATTTTATAAATACTGTCTGGCTGTCTGAGGTGTACAACTATGTGGCTATTTGGTATAATCACACAGGTCACTTATTTTGAGGTCACACACAGAATTGTCAGTGCGCACATGCTTTTCATCAAATTACCAATTTTCTAGATCAGTTCACTTATAGATAAAATGTGACTTCTTGAAATATGATTCCTTTAACTGACAAAAATTAGTGATGAAAGTGAAAAATAACTTTTTTAATGTATGCTTACTAACAAGAAATAGAAATAATTAACAGAATAGATACTGAGAAATGGACTTAATTTTACATTTATGAAAAAACCCAATTGTATATTTCTAGTCCTCTTCCCTAGTGACCCTCCCTACAATAGACAAAAAGCCTTGCCCCACTTTGTTCGTGCAGTGCCTGTAAGACAGTTTGCATCCACACACAAATGTCATCCTTGGCATTTTATATTCATTGTAGCATTCATAGAATGAACTGCCTGAGAACAGTAGTACTACCTACCTCTTAGGTAGCACCTTTCATCCATAGATCTCAAAGCAGTTTACAAAGGAGACACGTAGCATTATCCCCATCTTATGGAGTTGGGAAACTAAAGCACAGAGCTGAAGTAACTTGCCCAAAGTCATGTAACAGGCCAGTGACAGAGCTGGGAATAGACCCCAGGTCTCCTGAGTTCCAGTCCAGTGCTCTATCTACTGTATATCTGATTGAACTACAGGAGGGTATAATGTGTCTTTCCCCTGTGCAAATTCAAAGGCAAAGCTATTAGCTGGTCTTCCCATCTCCACTGCCACGTTTTACCTGTCAGTGACTGTTCTGTGCTTCCTGCCATGGGGGCAGATCAACAGGAAGCACCTTATTTGCAATGAGTACTGGGAATTATATGAAGTTAACAATAGTGTGCAGTTGATTGCCAGTATCCGCTTCTGTAAGCTAGCAAGTAAAAGAGTTCAACAATCTTCTTGATTTCCAATAAAATCTGCTCCACTGAAAACTTTGATTGAGTTGTAAGCTGGGCTGAGCCAGTGAAAAAGCCCTGCTTGGATAATGGAGTGCAAGTCAATTCACATGGAGTCAGAACTAGCAGGTTTACTCCAAGATGTGTCAGAGGCTTGCCAAATTGTGCACTGAATGCTGTCCATGCAATGTGAGAGCTGAAGATGCATCATAACAAAGACTGAGAAGATACCTGAACATGTGGTGCCAGCTGAATTAGCTGCCCTTTCTGTGAGAAGCTGGATTTCAGTAAGGAATCCAGAGAGCCGCTGATGTGAGCGAGCATGAGGAAGAGCCAGCAGATTACCAAGAGGAGATGTTACCAGAATCTAAAGGATGGCTGGCATAGGAAGGTGATGGCAGCAAAGTCAAGTTATTGGGAAAAGAAGGGCCCTCCTCAAAAGGTATTGAGATGTATTTCATTTGATCACATTTGGTGGTTGTTTTACTATGTGCACTGGGGGATTGGGGGGACCTGGGCAGTGAGATAAATAGGACCAGTCCATCTTGTCTTACTGGCTACAGCCATGATTGCTAAGAGTGTAAGTTACCAACAATCAGGGTAGAAGTAGTCTGGTGCTGGAGATCGAAAATAGATGACTAGATAGTCGTTCTCAACCCGGGGTCCTGGGCCCCCTGGGGGGCTGTGAGAAGGTTTCTGGGGGTCCTCCAGGCAGGGCCAGTGTTACAGTCACTGGGGCCCAGGGCAGAAAGCAAAAGCCCCACCATGCAGGGCTGAAGCCTTGGGCCCTACCACCTGGGCTGAAACCAAAGCCTGAGCAACTTAGTTTCGCGGGGCCCCCTGTGGTGTGGGGCTGCAGGCAGTTGCCCTGCTTGCTAATCCATAATGCTGGCCCTGGCTTTTATATGCAGAAAAACAGTTGTGGCACAGGTGGGTTAGGGAGTTTTTATAGCATTTGGCGGGCGGTGGGGGGGCCTCAGAAAGAAAAAGGCTGAGAACTCCTGGACTCAAGCATAGAGCCCTTCTCCCTGACCACTTTTTCCTGCCCAAAATATCACATTAACCTGGAGGCTCTTAATCCTGTCATCCCCAATTCCATCTCTTTTAGCTCTGCAGTCAGTTCTCGGGGCTTGTCCACACTTACTGGAGGATCGATGCTGCGGCGATTGATGTATCCATGGTCGATTTTAGCGGGTCTTCAGTAGACCAGCTAAATCGACCGTCAATCGCTCTCCCGTCGACTCCTGTACTCCACCTGATCGAGACGAGTAAGGGGAGTCTCCTGTCGATGTCATGTAGTGTGGACCCCATGGAAAGTAGATCCAAGCTATGTCAATTTGATTTACACTATTCACGTAACTCAAATTGCATAGCTTAGGTAGACTTTTCCCTTTAGTATAGACAAAGCCTCAGCCTCTGCTACTACTGTTGCTGCCAGGAAAGAAGTAACTTCTAATGGGAGGGAAGAGAAATGCCTGGGATTCCCGTGGCTCCTACTCTTCATGGACAGTCTCAAAATGGCCAACATAAATGTTTAACACACAAACAATATTAACGTCCTCCTGAAAGCTACATCTTTTTATTGCACTAAATCTTACAGGCAAGGTCAGTGGTCCAAGATGTTACTCATTGATATAATACTTTTATTACCCATGAGAGGAATCGGTGCAGATAGTGCAAATAAATTTATCATGTATTTTAATCTTTTGCTGCTCTGACAGCGGGGGACAGCAAAATCTCTCAGTTGGCTACACTTCTAGCTTTCTGACAGCTTTCTTATCAAAGCAGTCGCTGTCCTGGACATAAAAAACAATAACTTGCACACAGGGTGGAGAGGGGGGTGAGATATTAATTGCTGCCGTGTCTGGTACAGTCTGCTATTTTTATTTAAACAAAACAAAACCTCACTTGCCACCAAACTGAGTACCATACATACCCCATAACTGGAGTATTAGCTTTTGAAATAACTTATAATAGGCCCATGTTTGTTCCCTATCTCTTCCTCCCAAGTGCTCCAGGCAAGAATTAAGCTTTTTACCTTTAAAAAAAAAAGTAATGCATACCTTGTCTTAGTGATCACTGAGTATTAATATTGCAGATGGGCTCTGTGAAGTCTTATCTGCATACTGTTTAGCTTCATTCCAAAATGAGAATATTTGAACAGTTCAAAGCCATAATTTAATGTTCAAATTTGCCTTTTTCTGATTCTTCACTAGGTTTTGCTGATACTTATGAAGTTGTAGTTGCAATGGATGAGGAATTGATTGAAATATCTCCTCTGCGAAGATTCCACTTTGTCCCACCAAATTCATTTTTTAGGAGGTCAAGAGCAGAGAAATGAAATCCCCTGACATCTTGAAGAAAGCGATGTCGCGGGGTGGGATCTTCTTTGAACTACAGTTGGAGCTAAAGAGGAAAAATAAGCTGCAGCTGATTCAGGAGGAGGAGAGAAGGAAGCTGCAGAGGAAGTTGAAGGAGACTAGATTGCAGGAGAAGACTGAGACGGACCAGGCAAGAGAATAAATGGAGTATTAGATGTACATCAGGTGGATGAAGATGGAAAGCTAAACTCAACTCATTTGCCAAATCATTAGGGCTTCTGTACTGCCATTGGCAATGCTCCCCAAGGAGAGGCATACATATCAGCCTGATGTTGGTTTCAAACAGCCTTATACAAGTGACTTGTCTCTTTTGGCATTTGTAAATGGCCCCCTCTTGCCCTGTGTCTCCACTAGACTCCCTTTACCCTCCCTCTGCTAGGCTTTCATCGTCCTGTTGCTGCTCTGATGACACTGATCAGTATTATGCGCATCTATAGAATCTTTTTTCCTTGAGCTCCATCTTAATTTTTTGTTTTATTAGAATCTGTCTTATTTATTAATTAAATAGTCTACATTCTATTAGAAATTATTTGAATGCCTAATAGTGACATAGGACAAATAGTAAATAGTGCTTTTACCACCCAGTCCCTTTGTATCCAAGTGTCCTATAATAACTACCTTGTACAAGGTAAACAAGATGAATTGTTACAGTAACAGTTTTTCCAGGCTACCTTAGCATTAAAATATATTGTAAGGACTATACATTAGCAAAGTGGTTAACAATTTCACTGACATGAAACACTCATAGCTCCCATATCCCTGTATAGCAAAGTATACTGCAATAGTCAAATGTCAACTTTACAGACTACCCTAATCTTTGCGCACTGTAGCTTTTGTTAGCTGTGGAGGTCTGTTTACACCTCTTTTGCCACTGAAGTTGCACATACTGGTTGAGCATATCCTGGATCTTACCAGTTTTTCTTTAAATGGCAGTTATGCTGGACTCTTGCCCACGAGTTTCAGCAGCTGAGTACAATATATCTTTCTGCTTTCACAGTTCAGTCCATCTTGCTTTCACAAATGTTGTGAAAAGTCAGGCTATTGAAATAAGTGGATGTATTCAGTCAGTGTTTTTATTACAGTTTAACAGGAACCTGGAGGAGCTTGCTTTCAGGTTTTTCAAGGGCACATTGATCTACCATTCAGTGCTTGGTGATGTGGTAATTAAAGCAATTTGTCTCCATAATGTGAGTAAAATTCAACAGACTACTGCAGGCTAGCCTTTGCAGAGAGATTGTAAAGTGTTATTTCTGACTGAGAAGTAAGTATTCCAGCCAATTATTGTCATTCTAGAATCCCAGCACAATGTAATCCCATCACTGCACAGTATCCATACCACAACCTTATCCTACTGTTTGGATAAGGCTCAGGTCGAGAAACTAGACAGACCTTAATGTGAGGTTGCTTGCCCTGGGACTTCTGTTGGAGTTCCTCTTGGTGTGCCACATGCTGTCATACATACTTTGCTCACTGACTGTAATCTAAAGGTCTGTAATCTAAAAGTAGAATAATAATGAATTCCACCCACCACTGTTTGACTCTCCTCCTCAGTGTGATCTTTCCATAACAGCCAAACATAGGACATTTATTCTAATATAAACTGGGACAACTCCTCTGAGGAGAAGTTCATGCCATCAGTGGTGATAATAAAATAGGAATATTGAAGATATGTCTATGCTTAAACAGCTACAGCACTTCAGTGTAGACACTCACTACAGTGACGGGAGGGGTTCTCCTGTTGCTGAAGTTAATCCACCTCCCTGACAGGTGATAGCTAGGTCAATTGAAGATTCCATTGACCTTGTGCTGTCAACACCAGGGGTTAGGTCGGTATAGCTACATCTCTTGGGGGGTGGATTATTCACAACCGTGAGAGACAAAGCTGTGCCAATGTAAATTTCTGGTGTAGACTAGCTATGAGATACTTACACAAGATTCACGTATTGTAATTATGTTCTTATATGGACCCCACTACTAAGTTCTTTAAGCTCCCACGACCATTTTGGAAGTGTTCTGGGAATGGTAGATAGGTGCTTTTGTAGTTTCAAATGTCTTAGGAAACAAATGCAGTGTTTTAAGCAATGTTCTGTAGACATTAAATTGTGCAAATAAAAGTGGTGTAACCAGCTTTTTCATGTAATCTCTATCGCTGCAGTGGTTCACTCTCCTAGTTTACATGCACTCTAAGTTTCCTAGTTGCTAAGAAAGATCCTCTGGTGGTGCCTCTAATGCTTCTGCATATAATGTTCCTTAGAAATAAAAGGAAACTGATGTGGGTTGTTAATTTTACTCTTGTGGATGTAAGTGCTGTGGGAAGTGGCACTTGAAAGTCTGGGTGGGAGACTTCCAGGGAAAATAAAAGAGAAAAACCTAAAAAATATAATTTCCCTCTGCTGCCTTGGGTGGAAAAAAATGCATACAGGATATTTTGCCCTGAAAAATACCGCATCTCTTATGTAGCTGGTTGAGGGAAAAAACAAGCCACGGTAACGTGATCGCAAGCCTCATTGAATGTTGTATATCTATACCGGGGTTCTAAAGATTTTGACACATGCTTCATTTCCTCTTTCTTGGCTTCTTTCTCTGTCTGCTTCTCTCCTTGCTTGGTTATTTTTCACTGTTCTTTCTCCTCCCTCACTGTGCCCTTGCTGCTGAGTGGGAGTGTGCACTACTTCTGACCCCTTCTCTTCTTCCCTTTATGTCTCTTGCTGTCCTCCCCTCCCTGCAAGGGATCGTGCCTGGTAATACACAATTATTATGGAGCAGTAACTTTAAAAGATTTCAATCTGCTGTGCCTGTTTAGTATATGCCGTGGGTTGTACCATAGGCAAGCCTTCTCTGCAGAGTTTGGCTAATTGTAGAATTTTGAAATTACAAACGTGGCCAAGGCAAGTATTTTTTTTCAAACTATCATAAGTTATTTATCTTATTGGGTGCACTTTAGTTTATTGAGATTCTAGAGAGATTATTATAGTTATAGTGTTATTTCCATTTTTAACTATAGGGACTTTCACTGCAGCTGGAATGAAGTGAGCCCACTAATTATCAAGTCAAAGTAATGTACACAAGTTCAGATTTATAATGGGAGTTGCTTGTCAAGCGGGTTGAAAACCAGACTGATAATGGGATATGGTGTCCAAAATCATAGGATGAGGGCATTATTGCTCTCCAGAGAGTTCTCTTTCGGGGGGCAGATGAAACATGTTGCCTGTAATGTGTTTTTGTTAACCCATGAACCCTTTGAAAATATTTTCAAATCCTGGTTCTTCTGAGATTGCTCTGTTTTAGGAGCTTTGTAATTTTAAAATATTTACTGGTTCTCATTTATGGGCGCATAACTCCCACTGAATTCCACAAAAGTTGCATGAATGTGTCTGAGGGAAGAATCTGGCCTCTGTGTAGTGCATATACCATATATACTTGTTCATAAGCCAAATATTTTTGGTAAAGAAGTGATGCATCAAAGAGCGGGGGTCGGCTTATAAATGGGTCTACACCAAAATTTGATGATTTTAAACTCTATGAAATCATTGAATTGAATATCTAATACATTGTCGTTTTGTTCACCTGGAGCATCTGCAGGCATGGAGCCCCTTAGTTTCCTGTGGCCGCGGTTTGCCGTTCCCAGCCAATAGGCAGGGCCGGCTCTAGGTTTTTTGCCGCCCCAAGCAAAAAAAATTTTTGGCTGCCCCCCCCCCTATTTTTTCCCTGTGCCCCTCCCCAACCTCGCCCCTTCCCCAAATCCCCGGCCCCGCCTCCTCCCCCAGGCGTGCTGCATTTCCCCTCCTACTCCTCCTTTCCAGGCTGGGAGGGAGGGGGGAGAAGCGGAGTGGCGGTGCGCTCAGGGGAGCAGGCGGAGTGGAGGTGAGCTAGCGTGGGGAGGGCCGCAGGAAGTAACCCTGGGGGCCGGGGGGGGGCAGAGGAACTGCTCCCTGCCCCAGCTCACCTCCACTCCACCGTTGCCTCCTCCCCTGAGTGCTCCAACCCCGGAGCACCCACGGAGTCGGCGCCTATGAGGGCCGGCCCCGGAATGCTGCCCCTGGAGATGTGCCGCCCAAGCACGTGCTTGCTTTGCTGGTGCCTAGAGCCGGCTCTGCAAATGGGAACTGTGGGAAGTGGCGCCACTTCCCGCAGCTCCCATTGGGTGGGAACGGCAAACCAGGGCCACTGGGAGCTGAGAGGCTCCTTGCCTGTGAATGCTCCAGGTGAACAAAACGTCCAGACCCGCCAGTGGCTTACCCTGACGGGCCAGGAGCCGAAGTTTGCCAACCCCTGAAATATTGGGTTGGCTTATGAAAGGGTCATACAGTTTTTACCATTTTTACTTATCCATTTTGGGGGAGTCGGCTTATAAACGAACTGGCTTATGATCGAGTATATACGGTAGATCTTTTAGAATACAGACAGGGTGTTAAGGGAAAATGCCCTTGGATATTCTAGCTCACTTAGAGAGAGAAAATATGTGGGACATAGTTTTTCTTTTTGAATCTATTATGCTAAAATTATACCATTTCACTTTCTTGATAGTTTTATTCTAATAATCTTATTTTCACATGAATCTGTAGTGGTCAACTGCCAATTGTTACTCTCTACAAGAACAAAGCATGTAAAACTGGCTGAAGCATCAATGGGTTCTGAAACCTTGTTTGCACTTTTGTCTGCATTTTTTTTTACCTACTATTATTGTAAGCGAACCCTAAGATTATAATAGTTGAAAGAGATTAGATTTTTTCTCTTTTTCAGTTTGTAAACTCTCCTTATTTAATAGCACTTTGTTTACAATCAGTTTTAATTATTTTTCCTCTGCAATCATTTCACTCTGTGTGGATTTTTCACGTAAACGGGGGAGAGGAAAACATTTATTTTATTTTTATTAAGTAAGTGTGATTGTAAAGGCACAAAGATTGGCAGGGGAATTTGGAAGCAGGTGTAGAACTTTAACTTTCCTTCTAGCTCAAACTGACAACATCTCATCAAAATGAATTCAGTGCACTGTTTCAGTTTTTTAAAGCAAATAGTTACTTTTTAGCTTAATATATTAAAAGCTATCATATTGTGCAAATACAGTGCAGTGAAGGTGGTCCACTTCTCTTTTTAATGTAATGCTCTTTATCTCTGATTTTTTTGCTTCTGTGGTTTAGGTCCCTGGTAAGCGTGACAGACAGAGTGGAAAAAGGCCTGTCCTCTGCTGAAAATTTAAAAGGGTTTATTGAGATAATAATTCCAATATTGATTGAGTGCTGGATTGAAGCGTCTCCTGCACAACTTGCTGCTCCCATTCTTGGAAATCTTTTGGAACCTGAATCTCAACAGCTAATGCAACAAGTGCTTAGTATCATATACTTGCTGTGGAAACTCACAAAGCAACATGACGAAACGCACAAAATGGTAAGAGAAAGGAGTAATGTGATCTACAGCTTAAGCACATAAGTTAAATTTGCTCTGCCTATAATTTGGTGACTCTTTATGATATAAGTGAGGAAAATAGTTTTTAAAATAATGGAAATAAAAATTTAGTCCCAAGTCTTGAACGTGATCTTATGGAAGTATGAGTTTGAACTTTCTCATCTTTTAATCTAGAAAAGTAGCTATCAAACTGCGGTCTTTCGACCACCATTGATTTACAGAATCCTTCCTGGCACTCTGCAAGGCAAAAAGTTTTGAGATCGAAGCAGTGGAAGATTGGATTGTTGGGAAGGTATATGGTTCTATGAGAGCATCTTTGATTCTCCAACTTTTCATTCTGCAGACAGCTCTGTAGGACAGTGAATCATTTTTCTGAGCTGTAGTAATCTTGAGAAGCTGGAGAGGCTTCATAAAAGAAAACAAGGTCTCAAAGAGCCACAGAATAATCATGGTGTGAGGTCCTTATGTTGCTTTCCAGTATTTGCAGAGTGATGTCATGACTCTCAATTTTGAAGATAATCAAAATTACAACAAAAATATTGCAAAGCAGTGTTGAAATGTCTTGCCTTCGTTATTTGCAGCTCCGTGCCTGTTCACCAAAGTAACTCCTTTTTTACTTCTGCTACACACTTCTAGATTCTGCAGCATGGCATAGGGATGTCACTTTTCCCATTCCCTCTTCCCCTTTGGCTGCTGGGACGGATGGGAAGAGATATGTTGGCAATTCCTTTCCTAACATCTCTGTAAGAGAGTGCAGGTTGATTTGCTGAGCACTCTCTATGCTGCTATATGTTCCAGACAGCATGGGTAGCTGTGTGTCTTTGATCAGCTGTTTTGCTCCTGAGATCAAATGGAGTTGGAGTTGCTCTTGTTGAAACCATGGACTTCAAGAGATGCACAAGATGAGAAACAATGCTGTAAAAAGTGTGTGTAGTATGTGTGTGTATATATTACTCTCTTCTGTACATGTCACAGTTCAGGGCAACTGCAAGTGTATTTCCCCTCTATGGTCTAGCAAGGGCACCCACTCTCAGGTTACTGGCTCCCCAGCTGTCATCTCTTGGGCAGACACACACGTCTCTCCCATTCCTGACCTGGGTATTTCCAGGCTTCACAGTTCCTTGCCTACACTGACTTCCCCAGCAAAGTCAGACTGCCTAAGCAGGCCTGCTCTGCTTTTCTCCGCAGAGGCTGTAAATGATGCAAATGCTGCAGTGATAATTTACCAAACAGCTCTTTCTAATCAAGTAAGTGTTTTCTTAAGAAAAAGCGTTATAGAGAACACATACCGAAAACAATAAAAGCATCTGCACGCATGCAGACAAGCTTACTAGATATCACCTCAACGCCACCAAGCGCTCCGGCTGGTGGCCAGTCCTTCAAATCACATCAAGGTTTTTTTTTTGTGGTCAAAAGTTCAAACTTGTAGTTAGCTCAGAACAAGCATGCCCATGAATCTGTATGTCACTGTCTTATCCTTGTTTTGGCCTCTGCTCTTGTCCTCCTGTAGAAAGTGATCACCAGACAATGAGTTTCTCCTCAGGGTGCAGCTTTGAAAGGTTAGGTCCAGAGGAGAAAACTTACCTCGTCCCAAGTATTTCCTAGGAATCCCACTTAACTTTTTCTAGCATAAAGAAAAGGAGTACTTGTGGCACCTTAGAGACTAACCAATTTATTTGAGCATGAGCTTTCGTGAGCTACAGCTCACTTCATCAGATGAAGTGAGCTGTAGCTCACGAAAGCTCATGCTCAAATAAATTGGTTAGTCTCTAAGGTGCCACAAGTACTCCTTTTCTTTTTGCGAATACAGACTAACACGGCTGTTCCTCTGAAACCTTTTTCTAGCATGTTATTTCAAAGAGAACTTTGCTCATAACACTTCTAAGGGCTTACATTAGCCATGTCTCTTCTTTAGAGATCTTACATACAATCCCACATACTCATTTGTATTTTGAATACAATGAACTCCTAAGATCATGAAACTTAATTCAGTAAGGTTTGACCAGAATATTGCAGGAAATTCCCATATCTGTCTTAATACTTAATGTTTTATGATGTTACATTGTGAGATTTTCCACAGTATGAAGGAAGTTGAAGATAAAACTATTATTTTAAATCACAGTTGGCACTCTTGTTGCAAATTGCATTATAAGACTGCTTTCAGGGGTTAGTTTGTTTTAAATTACACAGGGTTGAAACTAGCCAAAAAACCTGTTAATTTTAATTAATTTTCTTCTATAAAATTTTGTCATGAATCAAAATGTTTTTATTCAGATCATTGTCTGTCTGAAGGACTCTCTGAATTGACACACCAATGTTCATGGGATTGATTTTTATTCTTAACTAATACTACATCTTAGTTACTATGTGAAGGATCTAACAATAAAAGAGTTATGCTGCATTTCTCTTTCAGGAACTCAATTATACTAGCTTTCTTATGGTTGCAGTGGTCACTAGAGTGCCATGGTATTGACAATTGTATAAAAACTTAGATAGATGAAACTGTTGATGTTATGTCCTGCTATTTTCAAGTGTTCAAAACTTCCTTGAAACTTACCTTTGGGGCAGAAACATTTCAGAACTTGAGGATATTACATTTTTTTTAATCCTTTTAAATCATGGAGTCAGAATGAGAAACGCCCTTTTTTCTTTACATATTGAACCCATGCAAATGACTGAATTTTGGAAGCAGAAACTTTGCATGTAAATAGTCCTTGAAAAGTGGTGTTTTGGAGAAATGGTGAAGGTGCAGAGAAGAACCACTAAAATGATTAGAGACAGGGCTGGGAAAAATGCCTTCCAGTGAAATTAAAGGAGCTATAAGTAGTTTCTCAAAAAGAAGATTGAGGAGATGGTTTGAATAGTGTATAAACACCTTCATGGGCAGAAAATACCAATAAAGGGCTCCTTATTATGGTGGTGAAAGGCATAACAAGGACTAATTGCTGGAAGTTAAAACCAGATAAATTATAAGTGGGGCTCGTGGCATCATCTGTTGTTAAGGTTGCCTGTTACTTACTGTTAAGACTCTGTTTTCAGTTGCTTATAACATTGCATATCTAACTGTTTGGCCTTCAATTTTTTATGCTGGATGTCTCTCAAGTTGAATGATTTTTGGAAAATTTTGGCTGAAATGGTTCAACGATTTCTGAGAATCAGACTAGGGCAAATAACATTTTTTTTCTTCAAGGAGTGTCCCTGTGGGTGCTCCACTTTAGGTGTCTTGACGCCCTGCGCTTGTAATCAGAGATTTGTGGTAGCAGTGGCCAGTTGGGCTGTGCACGCACTGTACCCATCTCATGCCGCACTGATCAGCAGCGCCCTCTCCTACTTCAGAAAAAAATTATAGTAGATAATTCTTAGTGGTGGTGTTAGCTTAGTTGTAGTTAGCTTCCCTATCCTCTTGCCCTACTCTAATTTCTTTAATTGCACCAAAAAAAAATTTTTTTTCCCCTTTTACCTCTCCTATCTCTTTGGCAGTGTTAGCCTCAAACAGGGTTTACTCCTTTTTTTTTTTTTCTCTGAGGGCTTGTCTTCACTACCAGGGTAAGTCGACCTAAGTTATTCTACTCCAGCTACGTGAATAACGTAGCTGGAGTCAACGTAGCTTAGGTCGACGTACCCCAGTTTCTTCATTGCGCTGCACTGGTGGGCGACACTTTTCCGTTGACTTACCTTAGTCTTCTCGGGGAGCTGGAGAACCAGGGTCGACCGGAAAGCACTATGGTCGATTAAGTGGTTCTTCACTAGCCCCACTAAATCAAGCGTCGATCTCCCCATAGTGAAGACCCAGCCCTAAGAAAACTACTCTCTCAGGCATGCCAGGTTCACCTGGTTTTAAATGCTGCCTGACTTGCAGACTCACATTACTTAAAAGTTTCAGAGTAACAGCCATGTTAGTCTGTATTCGCAAAAAGAAAAGGAGTACTTGTGGCACCTTAGAGACTAACCAATTTATTTGAGCATAAGCTTTTTCATTGTTCTCAGATCCAAGGGTTTGGGTCTGTGGTCACCTATGCAAATTGGTGAGGATTTTTACGAAACCTTTCCCAGGAAGTGGGGTGCAAGGGTTGGGAGGTATCTGGGGGGAAAGACGTGTCCAAACTACGTTTCCCAGTAAACCCAGTTAGTTTGGTGGTGGCAGTGGTTATTCCAAGGACAAAAGATAAAATTTGTACCTTGGGGAAGTTTTAACCTAAGCTGGTAAAAGTAAGCTTAGGAGGTTTTCATGCAGGTCCCCACATCTGTACCCTAGAGTTCAGAGTGGGGGAGGAACCTTGACATGATGGCAGAGTGGTGGGATTAACCTGAAATCATTTTGAGATCAATTTGAGATTTTTTGAACTAGAAATACAGATTTTCAAAAGGAAATTTTTTTTTCCTTTGGGGCTGCTGGAAGGGAGGTCCAGAAAGCAGCTGAAACTGAAAGCAGCTTGTTTTTTCTCTGCTTTGGAGCCAGAGGAGAGACAAAAGGGGATTATCTTTGTGAATTGCAAGTTTTCTTTGCCTGGAGGCAGGGTACTTAACTCCTGCAGGGAAATTCAGTCTTCCAAACCAGAAGGTTTTTTTTCCCCCCTAAAAGTAAATAGGGGGGGTGTTCTACCCATTTGCCTGGAGACAAAAGTGGCAGGGGCTTTTTTTTTTTTTTTAGGATTTTGATTTTTTTTTTACAAGGAGCACAAGTTTGAAAAGGAATTTTTTTTTTCCTTTGGGCTGCTGGTAAGCAGGTTTCCAAGTAGTTGGAGGTTTTTTGCTTTGATTTGGGGCCAGAGCAGAGACAAGGGAATTGTCTTTTTCTGTAGGCTGACAATCACTATCAGAGAATAGGTATTCTATTCCAGCACAGCAAAATTTTACAGCCAAGTTTTGTTTGTTTATTTCTAAACCTCGGGTGTAAAGTTAGTTAAAAAACAGAGAAGTTAGGATGACAAAATCCACGGCTCGACAAAAGCTGGAATTAGCCAGATTTCAGGCTAAGGAAA